CCCCCCCCCCAAAAAAAAAAAAAACACACGACCACGGTGATGCTTCGGCTGCGCTCTCCGTCGTACTTGTTCAACAATTCACCGAGGACTCTGGCGAGAATCTTCATCAGTTCGCCTTGTGCCCGCTACCATAGAGGTGAGTCTCTCTCCCTCCTGCTGAACACCGAAGCCCACCAGCTTTCTCCCATCTTTGGACCAAAGCAACGAAAGAGAGCAGCAAGATGGGCGGAGACCCGTACTTCGCGGCGCCAACAGACTTCTCCCACATACCGCAGAGAGCCGCCCCAATTTCTTAGTTGCCACAAAATCACACCCACGCCAGCCGTGATTGTGGCGGTCTAGCCCGACATCGAATGGTAGTGCCCCCCTCCCCCATTCCCCGGCAAGAGTGTTCTGATTCTATAATAGTTGCAAGGAGAACCGGTGCCTTGCCTGGCTGGGAGTGGCGATGTCGAAGAACGCCGCCACGTTCAGCTCGCCGTCCAACATGTACGCCTCGAACACCAGCTCGCCCCCGGGAGGGGTATGGTTCGGCTGCCAGCCCTCACTTACCTGTAGCAGCAGCGGCAGCAAGAATGAGAGTGAGCCATCCAAGAGCACGGCAGGACTGTATGGTATGGTACGGTGTGGTATGGAACGGTTCGAGAAAAATGACGGTTTACTATTCAGCGGCGAAACACTGGCTAGGTAGGGACAGGAAAAACAACCCCAAACGGTATCGTACCACCGCACGAAGGCAACGAGGCCATTTTGGCGCTGCCCGTTCTTCCTATTTCTTCGTCGATGCCACGCTTCGGGGCCGAGCCTGACGAACCATGAGGGTCTTTTTCGGAGCCTTGGTACACAAACACAGGTCGGGCTGGCTGCACAATCATAAATCAACAGGGCTGGGGGAGAACGGCCAAGATTGACTGCTCTCGTCAGCATTTTGAACGTCGCTTGGGTCCGTATTGGCATAGTACCAATTTTTTCGACCGGTGACGGCAACAACAACAACAGCCGCAGCTAACCCTAGTTTAAGAGTTAGAAGACAACCGGATGCGCGCAGAGCATCCATCAGTATCGTCACTCACCCACTTGAGGTCCAGCAGCTCCGCCAGGTAGAGGAGGTTGGTGTCGTGGGCCGCGTAGTACACCAGCTTCACCTGTGGACGACAGGCAAGGGGAACAGGTTACAACACACGACAGGCAAGAGGAGCCGATTGGCTTCGGCCTTGTGGAGATAGATGCGAGGGACAGCCGAGAAAAGGTACGCAGGTGAAACCGCGCTTCAAAGGAAAGTGCGACAAAACATGTACGGTGCGCCACCAGATGAGAGTCACGCTGAAAGTGAGACGAGCGCGCATGCCCTCACAAACCAAAAGCTGGAGCAAAGAAAGCACGGGTTGAAGCACAACCGGCCAACTACCAAAGGCGGACACATGCAACACGACAAAGCTCTCCGTTACTTTGGACACCGGTTACAGAGTCGCACGGCGGGGTAACTCTCTCTCTTCGCTTACGTACCCACCCGCGAGCATCAAGACAAGCGCGTCACTGCCGTAAGGCTTTAACAGAGGACACCCCAAATAAATATTAAAAAAAGCCTCTCAAGACAAGTCAGCCAAGCACGGCTTTCGATCGGATAAACCACGAGTCAACCGGAGGGGGGGGGGGCAGGGAATGACACCGACACCGGCAGGGTGTATACACGAGCCGCCGATCAACCTCGGTACGTACAAGCGGCTGGCTCTCTACCTGGAACGGATTAGTGTGCAACTTGATTCTCTCGTCGCAAACGAAACTCCGCTCTCACGTCGGGGGTGTGGGCCACAGCGTCGAGGTTTTCTCCCGTCTCCATCTGGTCCAGGGCGGCTACGACGTGCATCAGGAGGGCGCTGCCAAACGGTCTGTGAAGGATGCGGCCGGGGCGCGTTCGACATGGTGCGGGTCGCAGGAGGTGAGCGATGCAGACGCCGGGTACGCGGAAACAACCAAACGAAAACTACGGGTAGACAATGACCACCCACGTGGTTTTACGGTGTACAACGAGTGAAAGGCGCGCTGTCTCTGGTACACCACCCACGTGGTTTTTTGGGTTACAACGAATCAAAGGCGCAGTGTCTCTGGTGCGATAAATACGGACGCGAACTATCTGTGCTGCTCTGGCTGCGGGAACGGGTCCGCAGAGGCGGGGAGGTACGTGCGGCGTGTGCACCTTTTCTCGTCCAAACGATAAGGCCCTCCGAACCATCATAAACACAGCAGATGCGTACGAAACCGTCGCTCCGCGGTATCCGACGCCACAACCTCCTGTATCAACGCCTACAAGACTCGAGGCCGCGACGGCATTAACGGTGCCCGTAAATCCACCTCGCCGCCAGCAGATCGAATTCGAAGTGTCGGTACTCCGTCACGAAGGCGGCCAGGTCCATCACGTCCTCCTCGCTGGTACCACCCGGCCAAGAAAAACACACGACAAAACAACGAGCACCGGAAAAGCAGCGAGTGGTCAAGGTAGAAACGTGGGCACAGGAGAAGGGCCCAGCGGCCGTGATAAAGCATGAGCACAGGAGAAGCATGGAGGGGTCGAGATACAACGTGAGCAACGTGGAAGGGCGAAACGGTGGGAGGGATAAGAGGGAAGCACCTCTAAAGTCCGCGGAAAACGTTACCATTCAACCAAGATAGGTCGTCTCCCTTCCAACAACAAAGGTGAGTGGACAGAGGATACACACACCAAAACCAGCGATCCCTGGGCAAAAAGAACGCTTCCTGTGCCGCAGG